CAAAAAACCAGGAAAATACAAACCCCCCCCCCCCCCCATTTTGGAAAGTAGACACCCCAAGGTATTTGCAAAGAGGCAGTGGAAAAACCGCAACAGCTGCGACTACAACAGTGAAAACACGTGCATTGGGTACGATCAGTGAAACGCATAGGTCGGATGCAGTTAGGAATGCGGAAACCGCTGGCGCTATTTGAGATTAGTGACACTGAAAACATTGGTGCTGAATGCATTTAGCAATCAGCAATCTAGTCCCAGTCAGTTAACTAACTGATTATACTGCACCTAACTAGCTGATCACACTGCACCTAACTGATTACTGTAAGCAGCGCTGGCTGTGATCAGTTAGGTGCTGTCTTAAGCTGGCCATACACTTTACAACCATCGCAAGACTTCCGTCTTGAGATGGTTGTAAGGTCATTAAAAGCTCGTACGATCTGCTCATCTTGGACAGGCAGATCGTACTTGCGATCATTGCAAGCCCTCCCCGCTGAGCGGGCAGTGTGTGCATTGCGGGCAGTCCCCGCATTAATGACTGGAATGCTGAGCGGGCAGTGTGCGCTTGCGCACAACGGCCCGTTCAGCATTTGTCTTAAGAGCATGCCACAAACCCACCGAAAATCTTACAATTTTCGGCTTGTTTTCCAACATGCTCAACATGTTTTTTTCACTTGCCGCCACCTCTGCTGGACTCTGCCGTTTATTCAATAATTTCCTTCGGTGACGAACTTTGTTATACTCACATCGCTTTATGTGATGTATATTGTTGTCACATATTTTTATACACAGTTGATATTTAGATCACATATGTGCGGTTTTTACACATAAATTACAACCACAAAGTAGAGATTAAGGTCATTAAAAGCTCGTACGATCTGCTCATCTTGGACAGGCAGATCGTACTTGCGATCATTGCAAGCCCTCCCCGCTGAGCGGGCAGTGTGTGCATTGCGGGCAGTCCCCGCATTAATGACTGGAATGCTGAGCGGGCAGTGTGCGCTTGCGCACAACGGCCCGTTCAGCATTTGTCTTAAGAGCATGCCACAAACCCACCGAAAATCTTACAATTTTCGGCTTGTTTTCCAACATGCTCAACATGTTTTTTTCACTTGCCGCCACCTCTGCTGGACTCTGCCGTTTATTCAATAATTTCCTTCGGTGACGAACTTTGTTATACTCACATCGCTTTATGTGATGTATATTGTTGTCACATATTTTTATACACAGTTGATATTTAGATCACATATGTGCGGTTTTTACACATAAATTACAACCACAAAGTAGAGATTGAATAACAAAAGACGAGGCAAGGTTTATTTATTTATTTATAGCGCAACATATTAGCCTACATTTCCAACATGCTCGTAAGACAAAAGACGTGCGACCGTACAGTAGAAACGATCGCACGCCTTCCATACACCTGCCGGTTATCGTACGATCGCGGGATTTGCAGCGATTATCGTATGATAATCGGCAGGTGTATGAGCACCATTACAGTTAGTTAGGGCCAATGTGATGAGGGGCAGTATGCTTTCTTTTTTTAACATTACAGAATGCAAACAAAGGATGCTGCAGCCTGCCTGTGTTTACTATGGGGAGGATCTGTGAATGAATCCATTCACAGATCCTCCGTGGCTGTTTGCTCAAGGCGTGATCAGCGGAGGTCATACTGAACTCTGCCGATCACATTGTGATCCCAGGCTGAGAGCCGCTCTCAGCCTGATCCCAAGCGGCTCAGGCAGCTCTCAGCCTAATCCCGAGCAGAGCCGCTCAGGGACACATGACTGACAGTCATTGGAGCCTTTGGAGGCGGAGGAGGCAGTGGGTACAGCTGGCTTCGGCTGTCTGAGAGCTGGAGCCAGATGTCGGTGAGGCTCCGGTGAGGCTTTGCTTTCTCAGCTAATAGCAGGCTGCAGCCCATTATTAGCTGAAAATGGGTAAGAGGAGTACATTAATAAATGTACTCCTGTAAGTTACAGGAGTACATTTACTAATGTACTCTTCCCATTTTTTTTTTATTTTAAAAAGACTTTTACTTGTCGCCTGCTGCATATTGTTACTATGTATGTTTTGAAAACACAGTGAAAATGTGTAGAGGGTAGGTACCAATTATAAATCTTTTTAAAACATGTTTTTTATCCATATGGTGTCAAACAACAAAATCGGTATTGCTCAAGGTATAGGATGGGTTTAGGAAGGATATGGCTGGTATATTTTTTCAAAGCTTGGTGTGTCTGCTAGATAAAGTCTCAAAATTTGAGGAAGCTGAACCCGTAGATAAAATATTATCTACGGCGCTGATTTTCCTGTCTTAAACAGTACATGTAAAAAAAGAAAAAAGTTGAGACCATCAAACTGAGATATCCATTGTAGATGGACTAGTAAAATATGTTTATTGTCAAGTGAGTTTTTGATTTAAGAAAAATACCCATTCTAGTACCTAAAGGGAAATAACACAGACATAATGATCAATGACTTAACTCATCATGGCTCTAATGAAACCTGACAAGCAAATTGATCTACATGGTCTCCTATAAGACAGTTTTCTGACAAGGATAAAAAGGTTAAACCGCTTTGATTGATGTCCATTTTCTTTTTTGTGAAGTGTCCTCTTTTGTATTCTAACCATCATAAATTTAGGAAAAATGACCCAGAACTTGTAGTTTTCAGAATGCTGCAATGCATTGATTTATTTAGTGCTGCCGGCTAATGATAGATATGGGGGCTAAAAGCCATGCTGCTGTTAATATAATGTTTCATAATACTCCCTTTTCAGCTAATGCGGTTATACTTAAGTGTTTTTATGCTGCAACCAGCAGCAAGAAATTATTAGCCTTTGATTAAAATACTGCTGTTTACAAAGTTGTTTATTCTGATAGTGAGGACAAGTCAACCTCCTCTGCAAAGGTTCAGATCATTGAAGCAGTTAGGGCTGTCATATTCACAGTGCTAGCCTGTCATACACATACACACTGTCATCTTTAATCACTCAGTTCACCTTCAACTAGTTTAGTTCAATATACAATATTAATGCCAGTACTCGCCTCACTGGCATATATCACTCCATCTCCTGCAACACTGAGGGGTAGAGGTCTTAGTAGTTAGGGGGATAAACAACCAAAAGATTGCACACATTGGTTTAGGAGCTCCTGATTGCTCATCTCCTCTCACTGGCTAATGACATTTTCCGACAGGTTGACTTGCGCTCTGACATCAGAGCTATGCCCCACCATTATTTTTCCACAAATATACTCTTCAAACACATCATTTAACTCTCTCTGCTCATGAAAATTACTTAGCACGCCACTACATTGAGGAGACATCAGCTGAGCTAGAGATAGCCAGCAAGGTTAATACAATGTGTAGCAATCTGGGACAAAGAAACAGCCCAAGCACAGAATTGTTTTGTAAATAATATCTCGTGTGTTTTAAAGTAACCTACATTTGCAAGATCTGAACTGTTCCCCTTGGTCCCTGTGTGTGTTGTAAAGTAGCCACCATTCCACGCTTACTCCTGTGATGGACTACAATCTCAATACAAATAAGTAAACTAAACAGGAGATTGTAGTCCATCACGGGATCGAGCTTGGAGTGGTGGCTACTTTACAACACACACAGGGACCATGGGGAACAAAAGTAACTACCCTCCAGAAGGAAGGACAGTGTCTGCACCAATCCAGAGATGAGTGATACACAAATAACTTACCTTTTTGTTAATTCATTAAGATTTAATTTTTAAGATTTGATGCCTGAGTTTAGTATCACTTTAAAGTTTTATATACATTGAGGGAAATTTATCAAAACTGGAGCAGAAAAAATGGGAACAGCTGTGCACAGCAATCAATCATCTTCTCTCTTCAGTTTGTTAAGGTAAAATTTGAAAATGAAAGAGAGAAGCTGATTGGTTGTCATGCACATCTGCTGCAGTTTTTGTCTGCTCCAGTTTTGATAAATTCCCCCGATTGTCCTGTAAATGGCATAAAAACAAAAGTCTTTTTATATCTTGGCTAGGCAGAATACAAAGACATTTCAGATAGCATAAATCACACATTCAGAATTACATATTTATGTCAGTGTGGTTGAAGGAACAGCATTGTAAAATACAGTCCAGAAAATTTACAATCCAGGGATAGTCTTAACACTGCACAAAACTCAAGCCAATTCAAAGGTTCAGAGAATGTTAAGAGACCAGCAGCTGATTAAGCCTCTTGGAGGCTTACCCATTTTCTTACAATTTAATACTTTTTTGTGAATTAGACAGTGACAGTCACCTATAATATCTTACCTTGCATCTGCTACAGTCACCCGTACCACTGCCCACACTATTACAAATACAGCTGGAAAACCTACAGAGGTAAAAGAAAATTGATTTACTAAAAAATTCAAGTTACTAATAATTTGTTTTTTGTCAACATCAACTAGTGTACAATTTTATTATACTCCCATTTGTAACTTTCAGATATGCACAGTATGTACAGTAAATAATTTTAATAAGGGTTAAAGCATAATGTAACTACAATACATTATTCTTATAAGGGTTAATTTTCTTGTTATTATACATAGGTAAATCACAAGAATTGACTTTCGGTGTAAGGGGATAGCTGTATTTTCATTTACTTTTAACACTAATGTTTATATGAAGAGGCAATGTGGTCTGTGGACTGATTACTGTAAGTTAGGTGAACACTGCTGGGCAGTGTGCTTTTTTTTTTTACATTACAGAATGTAAACACAGGATACCGCAGCCCGTCTGTGTTTGTGATTTTTTAATCCATTCACAGATCCTCCCATTCATTACACATCACTGCACTGCACTGTCCAATGCAGTCCAATGACAGTGCAGTGATGTGTAGCCAATGGAAGGATCTGTGAACGAATTCATTCACAGATCCTCCGTGACTGTTTGCTCACAGTGTGATCAGCGGAGGTCACACTGAACTCCACCGTTCACATTCTGATCCCAGGCTGAGAGCCGCTAGTAACAGCTCTCCCTGATTCCGTGTGGCCCCCACAGCTCTGTGCTTGATCCCGAGTGGAGTCGGTCAGAGACACATGACTCACAGTCATTGGAGCCTTTGGAGGAGGAGGGAGCGGGTACCGCTGGCTTTGGCTATCTGAGAGCCAGAGCCAGCTGTCACTTATGCAGCAGGGGGCTGATCCCGACAGCAAAGCCGGGATCCTTCCCCAGCCTGGTTGGCTCCAGCGAGGCTGTCTCAGCTAATAGTGGGCTGCAGCTCATTATTAGCTGAAAATGGGTAAGAGGATTACATTAATAAATGTACTCCTGTAAGTTACAGGAGTACATTCACTAACGTACTCTTCCCACTTTTTTTTGTTTTAGAGGGGATAGCTGTATTTTCATTTACTTTTAACACTAATGTTTATATGAAGAGGCAATGTGGTCTGTTCATTGAAATATATGCTCCTAACCTCCAGATCTCCAGGAGATACAAGCATGACAACAGTATCAGAATCAATGTAGGTATTAATGCTATTTCGATTTAAAATATAATACATAATTTTTTTCTTCTTTAGAACAGCAGAACTCGCCTATACTAGCCTGACCTAAAGTCCAGCTTTAGGGCTGGTTGCAGTAGTGCATGGTGTAGTATAGTATATAATATCTACTACATTTTTTAATGCATTGAGGTGATTTACAGATGATTCATTTTGAGTGGGCTGCCTAATGCAACATGCTTCATTGCTAGAAAAAAGCATTAGTTGCAATGCAGTGTGTTGTGGTATGAAGAATCCCTTAGGCCGATGTTAAACCTTCATTTAATTATTATTTTTTATTAGAAACAAAAAAATATATATTTAAAAAAACTCACATTTATACAAATAAATATTAATCTTAATTAGCTAAAACATGTTTCTTTACACGATTTCTCCCATAAAGTGCATAAAGACTCTAATTGTTATCAACATACTGCTGCACCCTCAGTTTTTTTCTGTGCCACTTGCATGTACTTGCAGTGGGGGAGAGCAACCACTAAACCTGCATAACTCAAAGCTACGTGTCCCATCAATGCTCCGTCATTGATGACTTGGCCAACATCAGAATGCTGCCTGAGCTGCTGTAGACATTAACATAGCTGTCTTAGTGTCAATCATCCCTGAGAGGAGAAGATAAAGGGGGGTGTTTTAGTGCTGCCTATCTTTCCCTGAGAGGAGGAGATGAAGGGGTGTGTTTTAGTGCAGCCTAACTTTCCCTGAGGGGAGGAGATGTCTGGACATACCCTAATCACCTCAAGCGCAACACTGAAACCAAAACTGCGGGTGCCCTTTTTTTAGTCACTGAGCTGGTGGAGAGATCACAAAGCTCTCTCTGTGACCAGCTTAGCGATACAGAGTGCAGCAGCACTTGTCACCTACATACCTCACATAACAGCCCCAGTCCTCAGTGCCTAGAAAGCTGCAAGGGAGCGTGGCTGTTGCTTCCCAGGCTTCCCATCCAATCAGGAAGCCGGGTGGGTGTTCACATGACCACCTGTCAGGCTCCCTGCTTCATTACTGCACCCCTGCTGGAAGAGGTAAGGGACAGTTGAAGAGATGGGAATCCGGGATACCTCAGGTCTGTGTATGCACATGCCAATTTTTGCCACCCTAAAACCAGAAACAAGACAGCGATGAAGGGATGGGATAAAGTTGGAGTAAAGACAAGGTTTTATTATGGAAGAAGTGACATACCAAGTAAGTGTTTCCAGTAGCAGTTGAAATTGCTTAAAAAGTGAGGGTTTAATATCCCTCTGAAAACTCTACTTATGAAAATAAAATTGAAAATAACCAAACAAAATTAGGCAAACATCTCTTCTTTTTAAAAAAATGCAAAGATACATTTATTATTCATCAAGTTTAGGTGGGATTTGATGTAACCATGCTTTTATTTCTAAACCTAACCTATTTTAACAAAAACTAAAATTCTAGTGTCTGTGAAGGTTCTCATTCATCCAGGTCATGGTATATTTGTAAAAAATAAGTCAAGGCAACTGGACTTGCTGTATTTTTCCTTGAAGAGGTTTCACTGGTCATCCAACCAGCTTTCTCAATTCAGAATTACTTGTACAAAAATTATCTGAGAATAAATATGGTGAATATTGCTCCAATCAACATAATCTGTTAGTCATTGGAGTAAATTGGAGCTAGGAGGTGTTATTAACCTGCCCAGAGAATAGATTACATACAGTGTAGTAACGACCTCAGCACACAGCCTTGGCATACCTCATTTAGAAAAGCAGAACAGGCTTAGTGAGTTATGACAGATAGCCTGTTTCTTCTGATAGCAAATGAATCATAACTTAAATTGCTTTTTACTCCTACAGAAGTATTAAACTCTCAAACTTTTTTTAATAATGAATCCATATTAAACAAATATACATTGCCCAACAAAGTATTTCTTTAAAGTTTTGCCCAAGTTTTAACAGTGATCACGTATGCAAACAGCTTGCTCCAACACTCTCAGTTAAAATTATCTGAACTTCCTTTTGAGTACAAAATCACAAGGACAAGCACAGTATCCAGCAGCCGTCCATCTACTAGCTTGGAGGAGGTAGGACTGGGGAGCAGGGGAATGGCTGTTCCTGTGTGTTTGTGAAGACACACACAGCTTACTAGCACACACAAGGGTGGCTCCATAAGACTCTGCAATGGAAAGGAGCCACCCTAAGATATGTATCCAGTATGCCACTGCATTGCTGTGTGGTAAGTAAAGCACCACACATTCAACACCACCCTTTCACCTTAGTTTACTTATGGTCATTAAAGTGTTACTAAAACCTACATTTTTATTACCTTTTACAGCAGCTGACATTAGTACTTACCTTGTCTGATGCTTCATCCTCTTTAAAATCAGGTCTTCTTAATTCAACTGGTCCAAAGATCATATAAATTGGTTCCACTGCCTTTCAGGGTCCTAGAGAGTTACCCTTGCATGTACGTGCCTTGCCGACTGTCCCTACACATACAAAGAGCCCCGAAGCCAAGGGACGGCAAGCCATGTCCTGCTCCCACCTCCATGCTAATTGATTGACAGCAACTCCTGTCTCTTGTGATCGGCCCCATGGGATATAGTCATAGCACGCTCTCCCTGACCAGCAGTTTGGGTTGGCAGCGCTGAAAGAGCAGGAAAAAGTGCTAAGTTGTGGCAGCTTTGTAACATGAAAGATGTGAGTAATTGGGCAAAAATATTTTAAAAAACTTTATTTGGGAATGTTTATTGGATTTATCTTAATGTATTACTGTGAAAATCTGTCTAGGCTTAATACCACTTTAAAACTAGGCAATCACCTGAAAAAAATGACAAGCAGGCTCTAAATGGGAGGCATAGGTGCTGCTATGGAGGTAGTGGGGGGGGGGGGGATATGTCCTGCAGGGCAAAG